TCCTTGTCCTTTAGGCGCATGCAGATCTGTTAATATCCGTTGATCATGTCTAGGATATAAAACAGCAGGCGCCGGCGAGAGTATCGATAGCGTCATCAATGCGGGGCCTGCTGTCAATGTTGAAACGTACTTTTCCGTTTTTTTTTTCATCACAACTGCTTAAAAGGACCCTTGTCTGGGTGAGGGCTCGCTGGTGCCCTTACGGAGCATAGTTCAAACCGAACACTGACACCAGTCGTGCCGCGTTCACACAACATTCATGTGTCACTTGCGCAGCTGCGCCCTTCGCAATGTGCCAATGGTATGTATGGGCCTGGCTAACCGAACCGAGGGGCAAAGAACGCTGCTCCACGTTTTGTCGCCCCAGGTGAGAGAAGTCATCACTCTGTGTCACTCGGAAAGGCTGACAAGACATGCTTGCATACGGAAGACGTTGTAACATGTTAAAAAGCTCTTTTTTGTCAGGGCCAAAAAATCGAAACCGAACTAAAATCCAGCACTGCACAACACGCTCTATCTGTTACCGGCACCAAAATATCCTTTCAAGAAGGTGAGATTGTATTTCAAGGGTATTTTTTTAGTTTCAGGCGGAAAAGTTTTCTAAATGTGGACATTAATGGATTATTACGCCCGTTTCGTCCAGCTTATATAGCCGCGCAATGCTTCTTCGGGGGCTTCGGCGCCGTCGTGACAAACAGCGCGACTTACTTCTCGGCGGGTCACAAACTACCTCAGATGAAATCACCTAATAATATAAGCCTATCCTATAAATAGATAAGCCTATCCGACAACCACAATGCAATCGGTTAGTTAGGACTCGGTTTCGTGGCGATAACGTATACAACTCGCCTCAGAAGTTGCCGTTACGGATACCGTTTTCAGTCAATTCATCTACAAACGAAAGCTTGGGGAGATGCCATTTGAACTGCTGTTTGGCTGCAGGGCCGTACCCTTCCGAGAGCTTTGTAACTGTGGGGACGGCGGGAGGCGAGATCCCGCAAAACCACGGCAGAACGCGTACTGACAGCTCCGGAATCGAAAACGACACATGAAAATGCTACTCGGGTGGAAAAGTCTGACCTACGAAAGCTTAAGGACGGCATGAAGATACTGACAAATAGTGTCAGAAGTTCGCAAGAAGTTGCGGCCATGTTATGTAGGATCATTTATCGCCATGTGCCGAGTAGCCTCACACACGTATCAGGTTAGCATACTCCATGGCCGACGGTTGACAGCGAACGATAGGAATATAAGGTCGTATCTGGGAAAATATATTTCCATGGTGTGGTCGAATGTGCGCCGCAAGGATTAATAATATCATAATGTTTAGATATACGCGGCCCAGATGTGTATATATCAGACTGTGAGATATCGTATAAATCATAGTCTGCCAGTAGCAGTTTGGTCAAGGACTAAGCCGTTGGTCGGAGATTGACAATATGTCTGCTGACAACTAAGACCTGTGTACTCTAATTAGTAATTGTCTGTCGTTAGCACTCCGACCATATATATATATATATGTGTGTGCAAGGTTGTCAATACTATACGCATGTTCTTTATCGATGCTAGCAAACGTCGGATTGTTATTGACGGCACAGCTTTGGGCTTAAGGTCGAAAGGTTTTACGATTTGATTGAATAGATAGACAAAACAGGAATTTACGAGCTTTTCAAAACCTGGTCTTTTTTCATTAAATCGCTCAAAAGAAAAAGGGGGCCTGTTGTACTCGGAAGCAACAAAATCACCAGAATCATGTTGGTTGAGAAACAACAACATTAGTTCTTAAACGATATCTGTAGATATAGTAACTTTGGTGCTTGACATACATTTTCTAACTTAAGCTACTTGTGTATAATCAGCAAACAAAAATACACAGCTGAAATATCAGCTTGTCGGTTGTCGAAATAGCGTAGGATCTCGAAAGTACGGGTTCGCCATGAAGAGGCGCATAGATCAAGGTCTGTTTATGACATTTTTCGTAAGCGTATCGTCTTCTATAAACGCTTGATGAAGTGTAGGCTGTACGACCGATTGTCTATTACTTTTTATCGGGATCCTGGTAACGTCGTTCCTATTCTAAATACCTTATTAGCAACACCCATTTATAGATTTGGCTACTCCATGGACATACTGATCTGTTATGTACAGAACGTATGAATAGCGTGAAACACGCATTGTTTGAAGCGGAATCTTAAACACTAGCTCTCAATGTCAAAACATAAAGTTAGACGAGTGTCTGATCGATTTGTTTAACCAACATAGTTTTACAAGTCTCGGCAAGAGTACGTAAGTAGAATAAAAGAATAGTTGAATACAATAGTAAACATGAAAACGGAACACATGTAAATAATATTAAGAAAACGTTACCCCGTGCCATTCCTCCCTATTCAGAGCGTATATAGAGACTCCACTGTACACTCGGATGAAGTTCTTTTTCTAACATCCAAATATTTCTTGCAAGCTCTTCATTCAAACGGCCTTCTTCCCCAGAACGAGTTCTTCAGAATGAAATGGAGGATCCGCCGAACTGTCGTAGATAACATATCTCTCCTATAAAGAAAGACGTTTGTCGAACTAAACAATGCCGATCATGTACTAACGTAAAAGCTGACTATCGCTCCGAAAAGCAAAAAATATTGTTTGCTTTTTCAAGATTGATCGGATGAAATGGCGTGTTTTGGCAGTATCCAGACCTTTTTGGCCTTCAAAGATTTTTTGTTTGAAAGGATTGAGCTTCCTCAAAGTCGTAGTTGACTGTGCCGTGATGAAGATTGGCCTAGCCTGTAGTTCGGCCTTGAGAGCGTAGCGATGCTCACTTTAAAGGTATATCGCTGTGATGATGCATGAAAGCGCCTATTGAAAACAAGTTTTGGTTTTCTTTTGAGCAGTTGTGGCGTCCTTGCTCGTAAAAAGCGTTAGAGTTATGGAGGAGCAATGCCCCGTCTACCTGAATCAATGCACTTTATTATGACAGAGCACCACTCTGACTCTTGTAGCTTAATGTTGATTTCCAGCTTTTGCAACGCTGGTAGCACTTTACGTTTCACTTTTTTCTAACCGGAGATCAGTGTTCTGAGTGCAAGGTGGGAAAAAAGACTGGTACAGAACCTCTGAAGCAGCACCCTTTTGATTCGTCGTGACTGCGTATAGAATCGATACTCAAAAACCAGTAAAATACTGCTTCGTTCGAAAATTACATCTTTCCGAAAAAACTCTAAAGACAACTTAACGTGTACTTTATAAGTATGCTGTTTTGTCAAATACCTTTCTCAGCCCTCTCAAGGCCCTTCGTTGAAGAAGTTCGTTGTATCATGGGGAAAAAGTTGAACAAAACTGGCAAACAATTTCGCGGCACAGATTTTCCCAAAGGCCTATTTCAGCTACTTGCACATCTGAACGTAAGTTACTAAGCGAACTTAATCCAATCGTAGACAAACGCTTATTTTCCGCAGCACTGCTAGATCATCTATAATACGCCCACATTTTCCATTATCATTCCCACTGAGCGAAGGGTATGAGCTGTTCGAATATACGAAAAAATCCAGTAGTGGGCTTATAATCCACGAAAGCGCGGACCACAATTACCAGTCATAACTAACAAATACATATTGAGCGTACTGCTTCGACGCTGCCGCAATTCTTAGAATGGCAATCATCTGCTTAACTAGGATAAGTCAACATCACAAACGCATACAATTGATCATATTGGACTTCTGCATTCTACGTATGGCGAAACACCGCTTCGGTGCTATCGATGACAACAGAGACAGTGCCTGATACGTATCTTTCTGAAATATCGTTAAACCTCAGAGGTCAGGCCCTGAATATGAGCAGAGAATATGAACGGGTAGCCTGCAGTCACTGTATTCATTGTTTGTGTGCCATAGAACAGTACGGAAGCGCTCTGTGTTCAGAGTGCGGCAAATGTTCAGTCGTTATAGAATAGCTGCGCTGATAGAAGAACAGTAGAATTGTGGCATTTATCGAGGTATCGATACAAGGACGAGCTTCAACAAACAGCTTAGTTTGCCAAAATAGGCTACTCTTGTTTGAATGTTTCGTTACAAATGCAATGACATCAAGGGTAGCAAGATCAATATATGGTTATGGAGCATTCGGGAAAATCTAGAGTGTAGAGATTGTTTAGTAAAAGTATCTTCCCATACTTGTCACAATACTGTTTGATCCTCATCGAGAAATATCAAATGGTTCGCTTAAATTTCCGATTTCAACCAAAAAAGACTGCTTTCGAAAGATCCCCGTTTCCCCCGAAAAATAACTTACACGAAAAGTACCTTAGGTTTAGCTGAGAGTTTCATCCAATACGTACTCCGCAAACGCAACTGATTCCGATTGTTCTTAAATATACGAGTAGTTTTTCCAACGGGTCATTGTTTGTTGTTTAAATGTTGCTGGACGTAAGAGGATAAAATCGGCCAGCTGGCAAATCGGAGAAACCCGGCCATACTCATGTCACTAACTGGTATCCTATTAAATAAGAAAAAACAACTGTACCACTTATATTGGCTGACACTATTATACACTTGTTGACTGTTTGGTGTAAATAGAAATGACGCTATCTCGGACTTTGCGTACTCCGTGAAGTACTCACAGAATGTGCCATATACTAAGTTTCCTTCAAGATATACTCTTCAAGTCCAAAAATTGATAGAACTGCGGGTTGTGGCTAGCCTCCTTTCCCATGCGTAGCGTGATTCCAACGGATGCGTTTCATTTATAACGCGCGCAAGCTCTCCTGTAACTATGATGTGCCCTTTTTTTTTTCTTCATAACCCTCATATGCCCTATCACATGTACCGGTTAATAAATGTGAGCCAAAGGAAGCAAAAAAAAGACTTCAGCTAAATGGCTAGTTGGCCAGCCGGCCTACTGAAACGCCCTTTCATTCTACTCCGTAATCCAGCCGTTGTAACAATCCTTGCACACCTACGTACACATGTACACACATCGAGAGGCCTCGGTTTGTTGTCAGTTCTCACCTGTCTGTAGGTGTCTTCTACAGTCGGAATATAGCTCTCTCGGAAGGTTCCTTGTACAAAGCGTAGGACAAGCGAACTTTTTCCCACGCCACCAGCTCCCAGCACGACAACTCGGTAGTCATTGCTTTGTTCGGGCATCTTAAGGAGCGACGTTGTTTTTCCGTCGTCTTTATTGTCTTTGTTGTTCTTGGAGGCGTCTTTGCCTCCGGTTCCTGCGAGGTCTTTTGACGGTGTCCCTTTAACCGCACCTCCCCCACCAGCTGGGGCCGGGGGCGCACTGCCCTTGGCACCGGCTGTCCCATCTTTCCCGCCACCCGCCACGGCGGCTGCCGCGCCCTTGTCGGCCTCCTTGCCACTGGTGGCGCTAGCCTCCTTTGGCATGACCCCTGTTACTTCAGCTCATCTGAAAACAAATGCGACATAACGCAACGACAACGAAAATGACAATCGTTATTGGAACGACAATAACGACTGCCGTAACGGTAATTATGATGCTTGCTATTGTAATGGTTTCGCTTACTATTCACTTTGCCTTTATTTAGAACACATGTAACTATTAAAAAACGAGCCTTCCACAAGGCTCGGAGGAGGACGCAGAGCGACGTAAAGCGTATACAGCGTCACCAAGTCGGTGTGACTTTCGACAAAGCTTGAGCAAATTCAAATCATCCTAGCCAAACTGGAACATCTTAATGGGCCTGTTTTCTTCCATGGCCAATAACGATTCTTATTTTTAGTGCTGTTGAAAGCTCATCATAAGATAAGACTAATTATGAAAGAAAAGTTAACCATTAAAAATTTCCAAACCCACGAGAGCAACCAGCCTGCGACTTCTGCGGTATCTGTCTCGTCAATCATACCTTCACTGAAAACTGAAAATCCAAAAAAAAGACACCCAGTAAACAAAAAAAAAGAGAAAAGACTTCTAATGAGATAGTGAACATCAGCATAGAAAAGCCAAGTTTCCTCTGGCTATAATCTACATGGTGCCTTAGTAGGTGCCCGTAAATTTATGCAGGTATCTACAATGAATAACTTACTAAGAAGTACAAAATGGGTCGAGTAGCTCCACGTGAAGAACTATAATACGTGGTTGAACTTATCACAGGATCGATAACTCTCATGCTTGGAAATGATGGTAGAATTTTATAAGTAAAGTTATTCAGTTACAGCAGAAAGTTAGTAAATCGAAGCAGCAGTAATAAAAAAATCTACTGCCGGTAATGATGACAATCACAACTAATAATAACAACACGTTCTCTTTTCTAGACCCCCTGTTCTACTGGTGATTAGCAAGATTAACATAATTGAGCACGTAGACATTATATAGCTAATAGTAGCTTGGCTAAGTGAATACAACGCAACGCATCAATGCTTCCTAACGAGTAATTTTTCCTTCATAATATAGAGTTTTTACAAAGACGAAATTAAAGTTGAACATGCTTTCCAAGTTTTTTCCACTACCGACTCTAGTTAGCTAATAAATTCCGCCGAGTCACGAGAATCTAATAGCTAAAAGTCCTATCGGTCGCTTTGTTCGCCTTCTCAACCCTGTCGGCAGTGAGATGCGATTCCATATTGTCTACCCTTTACCATCGAGACTTCAATACAAACGTGCAATACGCTTCGATAATAGTATAAACTTCTAGTTTCATTAACTTAATGTGATCGACAGCCCACAGAGTCAGCTTAACATACGTGTACATGCCTACAGGGAAGGAGGGAACTGTATTTCGAGCCGGAATGAGGAAACGAGAGAAAAGCGGGTGGACGACGGCGTGCATTTTGACGCGGCAATATAATGACAATGCCATTCGAACCTTATGCCTTCTGAAGGACCAAAGCCAAAAAAAGATGCAATTGCGTAACATGGCGTAACTAAGTAGCGACAAGCCAGAGGTGTTTAGTGGTGGAGTATCCTTCGCTGATAGCGCAGTATCGAACGTAGGGGCTGGAAGAATTTTTCGCGTCAAAGGGGTCATCGGATGGCAAAACAGGGAGATGGAAAAAGCCTATAAGGCATATTGGTGAGCGACCCTGTGACCCCGTCGTTTAGTGGAAAAGAAACTGCGAACAGCGACAACAGGCCGCTTTGCCGTTAGAGCTAAGCGTCGAAGTTATTCTTTTAGAAGGCTTCTTGTTGATGTAGCAGCAAATAGTAACGACAGCAGGCGTGTTCCAGGAAAAATCCTTCGAAAGAAGGGCATGACGACCAAAGAAATACAGATAGATGCGTCTCGGTGCAGATCAATTGATGTAGACCATAGAGTACTAAATCGTTTATAATTTAGTTTTTGTCCGCTTTGGTTAGTGTAATAACATTTGTTTAGTGAAAACTTTTTAGAGGTGACAGTAATTCGACATAAGTCGTAACCGAAAGAAATGCCCACGTGCGAAGTCCTCCAATTTAATCTAAAGTGAGACATGTTCGATTGAACCCGAATCTGTTAGCATTATTCTGTTACCGTGTATGATCGCTTTCATTATTCCGTTGCAGTTATTTGCCCTGTTTCAGCTTTGTCGTTGCGTTTCGTCGACGGTTCCAGCTTAGGTTATTTCATTTTCTTGTTGCTTTGGCAATTGACTGTATTGTTTGTGTTGTTTGCTTAATTTAGGCTAGTAAAACCAAGTTATCATATTATTACTTTTCTATGCCGTACGCTCATTGATATGATGCTGTCAGTACTTGGGCTGACGTGTTAGTCATTTGAGACTGTTCCAACAATTGGAGGTCAAACTGATCTAATAATTCACCATCTCATAGAAATCTCAAGTGGCTTGAAAAGCCAGAGTACAAGGTTAGGCTGCCAAGACGTAGCATTCGACGGAGCGGATTTTACAACTTTGTTCTGGAAAACCGAGGGAAAAAGTGGGAAAAAGACCCCGTGCGTGTCTTGCTTTTCTTATTATTACTATTCTGTAATATTCCTCTATGTTGTGCGGTGGGGCATGTCGATGGCGATGCTTGAGCTGGCGCTCTTTCTAGTCTCACCAAAGATTTAGTGGTCTAAACCAATGATGGTAAGCATTAATTATAACAATAAATTCTACGTAATGTACGATAGGCTTCTCCTGTTCGACAAAGCATCGACAGCCTTTGATCGATTAATGTGCGTCTGCGAGCCGGTTGTCTTCCAAACAGGACGTCTCAATACGTATAGCCTATATTGCCAAACGTAAACCTTCTCAAGTAACCAGTGAGTTGAACAGGCCCAGATCTCAGCGTCAACTCGATATGCAAATCTGTTCCTGATTCAAGACAAACAACCTGGACATCCTGTTTAATAAACTGTGTACCGTCGTCCGATTTAGTGGCCTACACTAGAACTTTCATACTTAAACAGGATTCGATTTGTCTGATCACGAAAGCCAATTCGTACGTACTTTTGATGAATTTCCCCTGCTAATATTCGTCTTTATCCGCCGTCACTGATCTAGCTTAGTTTCAAAATTTTCATGACTCTCCTTAAATTTTCTGATTTGAAGATCAACGCTAACTATCGGAAGCATACCCTGTGAAGTTGACTTCATTCAGCTTTCGCTCGCGTGAATTACATCTTTTCAAATGGAAATGTTTGTTTACGAAAAGAGTTTCCTGCCGAAGTCCTCCTTTCGGAGCTGAATAGTCCTACGACTTCCCAGCTATCCAAAATGTCTATATATGCATAAGCGAAAAATCCGCATCCCTTTCTGCTTCTTGTTTAGCACACATGACATAGTCGACCTATAGAAGTATAAAGCTACATTATGCACGTGGCCCTTAAGTTGCGGAGTTTCTTTAAGGTTAGGTAAGGCTATTTAAGCCCGACGCAGTGTTTCTGTCTAATGCTTCACTATGGACTTACACGCACTCAATTCCCACTGAGAAACCCACGCTTCGAAAATATTGAAGAAAATATATTAGCGGAGCTAGGTTCAGTTTACGTGAATTAGGCCCCCACGACGAGGAATTGTTCACGATGAACAGCTCAGCCACTGCCTTGAAAGTTTTTTCAGTTCTGACGTAAAGCATATTTCGACGAAAGAAACGGAGATGGTAGATTCTAGCCGTAGGAAACTCGACCTAAGGTCGTCTAGAGAGACGAAAAACAAGTTAAGCTTTCAACTTCTGAGTACTTTTTGAGATAGGCTACCCCATTATTCAAACTCTGTCCGCCGGAGTGTATGCTTCGTGCAATAGCACGGTGATCTTAATAATGATTAATCCATTTATTTTATTGCTGTGTCACAGAGCGCTTAAATGACCGTTCTCCTCTAGCCCCTATATATACATATACTGAAACCAGCACATCGCTTTTGCAGCGCACCTGCCAATCCACTTATTGACATTATTCGATCTAGTTTGATTAAATTAGATAACTCTATTAGTAGATATGCGAGGCTCATTTAAAGGTTCTTGTTGATCTACGAGCTGATAAGCCACTGTAACCATAGAAGAGATCTGTTAGATCCGCTCGCACGGACTTTAGACGTTTATTAGCCAGTGACAGACGCAGCATTATCTACTGGTTATGAATGTAGCGCGCCTCTGCTTCATCCCCCAACGACGGCAGGCACAGCAGAAGCCGACTGGCCTTTGCCATTAATCCAGGAAGAAAGTACCAGTATGCTGAGAAGGACCGCTAACAGGAATGGACCCCGAGAGACACGAACGCTTTGCGGAGAGCCATAAAGACTGTCTTACTCCGTAGATTCTTTCGTCCCGCCATATTCTGGCAACCGCGACATCAGCAGCGGCAGCAGCATCGCCATCAACGACAGCACGGGGTACGGAGTACGGGACGATGCAGCATTATTTCATGTTATACTACGGTATAGGCGTAGCAGCAGTTATATGAAAACTACTGAACTAGGCTAAGCAAGATATCGCTGTTCCTATAATAAGGCTAATATTATGATGCATTATCCACGTACGATAGCTAACTTAATTTGAAGCCTTTCTACTAACACTATCCCTCTCTTTTTTTTGTCCTACAAAGCTCAACAGTCAACGATGACACGTTTTCGTCTTGGACGCGTTTCTTTCGATTACCCATTCAGTGTTGGCGCCATCGTTTCGCGTTCGAGTTTCGGTTATGAAACAAGCGCGATTGTTGCTTGTGAGAACCGCGTTGAAAAGCAGAGATTAGAAGAATGTTAATCTAACGTTTCATCAGCAACCACATCAGTAGTGACGGGAAAAGCAGTTTCTCTTACAAATATATGTTCATACCTTTGAAAATGGTGTGCAAACGATTCAGATGCGTCTATTGTTCACAATAGATTTTCCCTCAGTGTACTACAATATGTCATCGAGTTAATATAGCCCAATTGCACAGTGTAGTTAATTAATCAATACGTTAGTTAACCACTGCTAGTTCCCCACTTAACGCCATGCACCTTGAGCTGCGACAGCGGCTACGATTGGCGTTTGTTTCTTTACACATACACTTTATTAGCTGATTTCCACGAACAATGTGCACCTTTGCGTGCCCTAACCAGACGTAGAGCCAGGGACTCCGAAGTTCCCGGCGCAAACTTCACTGCGCACGCTACTGACTGGCTAACTTTTGGATCCGCTTCCTACAGACGGTTGTTATTACTAATCGTTGTCAGTGAAACCGATCGACACTTTTCATGCTGCTGTTCCTAGATTTGTCCCCTGGAAAAGGAAAGAAGCAGTTGTTTCCATCTAAACGTCGCTCGACGGCAATGGCAGGTAACCTCAGCCTTGGCTTAACGACAGCCGCAGTAGGAGATCGGCGCCTTCGCACCCGCCAAATGTGTTCAGGTCTCTGATACTCGACAGAGAATACACACGATGCAGAAAAAAAAAAGGATAGACAAACAGCGGGATACAGCAGCGTACAACAAACTACAGATCTATACACATCGGCTTGATCCTTCAAAAGTTTTGCACACACAAACAAATACTGTCTGTATACGATTATATCGACATTTCTCAATATGGCAATTCCAACGCAATTAGCTGAAAGAAAACTTGAATCTAAGATAACTATTTTATTTTAACTGTTATTTATCTACTTGTGATTTAATGATGAAGCGGTTACCGCGAGAATCAATGCGTAAACAAAGTGGAGCTGTCATCCTCACCTATGAAATATACTCTATATTACATCGTATAACCGCTAAGATTAAGTTGATTCCTTTTCTCTATCGTATTTTTTCTTTATTAGTCCATCAGTACCTCTCTGCTCTTACCTGCTTGGCTGTACGGGTTTCCTAAACTATTTAACGTTTTTGCTTCAATGTTCCAGTTCGTTTACTGTCAATTCGGGGTACCACTTCCGTAGCCCGTTTCTTCCTCGTTCAATCTACGGAATGTCCTGCTATTTGTCGCCTTCACCTCTGAGGTGGGGGGGGGGGGACAGACGAAGACGAGGTGCTGCTTCTCCACGTTCTATTTCCCTTGTCACCGCCGTAGTCCGTTTCCTTTAGCTGTCGAAGATTCCAACTGGTCTCTACGCTACGGCAGTATCACAGTCCAGCGTCCTACGCAACTTTGTCTCTTTATGTTCTTCAATGCACGGGTAACGTTGCTGTCTTTGGCGACGGTGGCTATTGGCCGTTGGGGGCAACGGCTGTCGCCTCGAACGCCCCAGTTGCCGTCGATGCTACACTACTATCGCACAACGGTTCGTCGCTTTTACGCGATTCCACTCACATAGACCTTTGGCATTGCTATGCTTTTTCCCTTTTTTGTGGTACTAAACTTGCTTCATCCACTACTCCTTTACGGTATCGAACGGTGCCGCATACTGGGGTGGATCCGTGGTACTTCCGCTGGTTCAACGATTAACCAATCAGCCAGTTGGACAGAGTTTGTTGCCTGGATAATGTCGACAGCGACGGACTCGACGGTCTTACAGCGAAAACTCTCGGACGACTCGAACGCTTCTATTCGGACTTTTTTTTTTTGCTTGTCCGCACACAAACCCCCTGAATCACGAAGGACGGACAGCGTCGCTCCTTGTTGAGTCCGTTTTTACGTTGGTTTGTTATTGTTAGTTATTTGATTAGGATTCATAGCACGCAGTGAAGATAGTGGTAAGCCGCCTGTGCGTCACCTGCACGAACAACCTGAGTTCGGCAGGTTGCTGTTATTTGCTTCGGACCATGACGTCCACTCGAGACAATGCTTGACATGATTGGTGGCATCATTTTGCGTCATGCTCCATTATACTTTGACTACTATGTATAATAACACTTCTAACATGAGGGTCAGTTAACTTCCGAAGCTGCGTGTACTCGGCTTTTTGTTAAGCTCGCTGCAGCCACCAGAGTTGTCTAGCTAGTTCTGTTCAGACCACGATAGATACTTTTGCTGGCGATTGTAATACGCGATCCAAGTTATCCACGTCGTTGTGAACGTGAATGACGCAGTGAGGTGAAACTCCAGTGGCGTCACGAGCTGTAAAAATGGCACTTGTAGTACTCGAACCGTGCGTTGCTTCGTATATAAACGTGCTAACGTTCGATGGGTAGTCGGCAGTTTAGCAGTGAGGGGCACACGTCAACGGCCTACATTCGACGTACGTCATGAACGGGTTAGCAATTCCGGTTTTACCCACGCCATTCGTGGCATCTATTGCAGTTTTCACTGTCACTGACCCTTTGAGTATCAACAGAGCCCACCGTTGTTGTCAGCGTTTTCGTATCTACCATACGCTTCAATCAAGCTTCAACTTTGTCGACTCCTCGACCGACGATCAGCGTGCCCAATAGCAAACAGCTGCGCCTCAACATATGATCATACCACATACTCACTGATACTGACATCTATCTCACTGGTACGATAGGCATACGCTTACACAGGCACACACATATCGGCTCGATAAGCTCGAGACCCAGCAACACAGCGCTGCACCTAATCAATGCTGCTGCTGTTAACGGATTCGCATAGAACGGAACGAACGAACACTTTTTCCTTTGCGCTCTTTTAGTATTACATTCACTCGATTATCCGCGATGATCAGCAGCGGCAAAAGCGACTAATATCACCGTTGTTGTTACCGCAATACATAGAGTGCCCGCGCGCGAAACTTTCTTTCTGCGCCGCCTGGCGTACGGCTACAGCACCATACCACCGTCACTATCAACCGACGATAATCGCCTTAGCTCGTTGTTTGCCTAGCCTTCTGCCTGTCTATTTTCTGTTATCTCTTGCTTACTGCTGTTAGCCTGCTTCGAGTTTCTGCCGACGCCCAGTAAAGCAACCCACTCAGCTTTCAGTTCGGAGCACTGGCACTTAGCGTGGCGCGCTCATCGCCTGCCTCACCCCGCTGCCGCGGCCGACTCTCATCGTCGTCGTTGTCGTCTCTTAGCGTGGCGGCTGCTGATGCTGCTGGGGCGTTTGGAGGAGCGAGGCCGAGGTACGGGGGAATGAGGGACTGAGGGGATGGAAGAAGACCTCGGTTGTCTTGCTGCTGCCGTACTGTCTTCGTTGCCTTCAGTACAATAAAACACAGTGATGGTGCTGCGCTGCGTTGCGCTGTACTGCCCCAGTGCCACCGCGGGTAGAACCAGTGGCGGCCTCAGTCAGCCTGAACCAGCCGATGGCAGCAGCGAAAGTAAGAAGGTCGCTTCGAGACAGCGCGCTTTCCCCTGCCACTAGCCGCTCTGCGAGAAGAGAACAGAACGGAAGGCTCAGTTGAACCCGGAACTGGTACCCACATTGCTCGTGGAAGCGGTACCGTGGGTTCGACTGATGCTTCCCCACTACAACTCTACGAAACGGAACTGGACAACAACTGTAGTTACCGTCTTTGTAGCGGTGGGGAGTAGAGGCAGCGGTTGCGTTGGCGGCCGCGAATAGACTGTTAGCTATGGCCTGGTCCCCGTTAGGTACTAGGGTAACGCAAGCTAGAGCAGGACACAGTAGGCACAAGACAGCAAGCAGTCAAATGCAATGGTGACGGGCGGCCGCTGTTCGAAGGGGACGCATAGAGGGAAAGGGCAGTAGCAGCAGCACCAGCAGCCGGCAATGGACAGCAATAAAATCCATCCTCTTACCTCCACTTTACCCCTCGGCCCCACTTTGCTCCTAACTAGAACCCAAGCTATTCCCGTCATCGCCTTCTCGCCATCCTAATCGCGTCGTGTACGAACGTGAACGAACCAACACCAAACTTACCAGCTCCCCTGACTTCCTAACCCCTCCTCACCAACTGGGTGCATATCCTTTCTTCATATTATGCTCAACATACGGCAAGGCAGGCGGTGACGACAAACGCCAACAAACTCATGAGATCCGCAAGCTTTTGTGTTAGGGTACTAACGCGACACATTTTTTAGCCTTACCATTCAACCGATTCCTATCCTAATCCCCTGTCCCCTACAAAACGGGCAGTAGAGCTCGCGCAGACTGAAGCTACAGCGAGGGGTAAACGAGCGGCGGATCGCTTCTTCCCACAAAGGGAGTTCGCTTTGAAAGGAAATGGCGAAGGGATTCCGAAGGGGAGAGACACTTGCAACACAGAACGGAGCGAGAGGCGGGTAATGCCGCCTTTAGGAAAGGGTTCGCGCGCCAGAAAGACTAGGGGAGAGTCGAAAAAGGACACCGAAGAAGTACGTCACATAGCATACGTACAAAGGGCGGAAACGTACGCGCCCCCTAATCCAGCTGACGGAATAGCATCAATCCAGCGAATAGAAGATGAGAAATTGTTCGGCTAGCAGATTGGCGGGTTGACAATGGCCATTTATAGCGCGCTGTGCTCCCTTACATCTAGTTTTTTTTGTTGGTTTGCATGCCACACAATCTAGGCCCTTTACCAAGGTTAGCCAAGTTAGCAAGGACCGCATCGACGGCAGTCACATGAACTAACAGACCGATGGCAGACCGACAAAGTAAACAGTAACTGCATTGCGGAGCAAACAACAATAATTACAATAATTAACGGACCACACCATGACGACTCAGCTTCAGGGAGTAGGAAAACGCTTGAACGTCAACAGTCAATAGAGGAGAGCAGAAATAAATTTTTACTACTGCTGCTATTAATAATGATTACATTGCTCTGATTCGGTTCTATTGGAAGGGCATATCGGTTCCGTAAGATTTCAATTTTTCCAAAAAAAAAGGACATTCCATTCCATTAGGCAGGCTGGCAAATCAAACGTCGAGCCAATATGAAATACTGGTAATATCCAGACTGTTTCCTTGAGAAAATGGAAATTTCGACTCTGTCGCAAGGTAAGAAAAGGGTCCATTTTTTTCGACAATTCACTATTATACCCATTGTATAGGGGAGGATTAAATTAAGTGGTAGGATGTTTCACAAGCTCTTAATCGTTGTTAGGGGACTTCAACGTATTTTGCTGAACTAGAATTTGAAAGTAGTGCGTGCGCCAGACTCAAATGCAAAGGGAGACGGCACACTAGAGATTTCAATAAAAGCTTTAGGGAAGTATCATGCTTCAGAACCGCTTTGTATTCGTCTGTTTTCTTTTCAAGTATTAATTTTTTTTCAAGCAACGGCCCATACGAGAGGTGCATTATGGAACTACTTCGGTTAGTTTAAATCTATATATATATAGGCGCTACTAGATCTATCTTAATCGGTGGTGGCAAATGTTTCAAATATTGCGTAAGTACTCGTCTATGGTACGCGAAATCCTTGAAGTTTTTCTTATTTAGAACCTTCGGAATATTGGCTGTCTCATGAAAAGATTCACCAAACTATCTCGAGCTCAACCCAATTGGCTAAATGGCAGTAAATCACCCTAACTTCTTCTACGTTCCTACGCTTTTAAGCGGTAAACAGAAGGTTCTCTGATGTAGAACAACGACCATTTTTTCCACATTGATTTATAGAATGATAATGTATGTGGTCTTCACTAACTTTATTTTGCTCATGCATATATAGCTGCGGGACACACGTACACCCGCATATGACACAGTTTTTCCAGACGACACCCATGGATGCCTTTATCGTCACACCACGTAAGCATTTACAGATCCTGCATGTTCCTTCGAGCTTCAGGTAGATCTCGCGGCTTTAATCTATTGGTAACTTAGTTAATTCTCATTCCCGCCCAGCAACAGCGTAATAAGTATCACTGTCACCCCTGCCAGAAAAGTCTATCAGGTTACCCTACTTGCCTTTCTCGGTGTCATTTAGATCCTCATCGCCAGCCGACGCGTTTCCTACTTCATCTTTCACGTCGTTCCTCATAACCCCAATATCGCTCGGCATGAATAAACAGAGCCAAGCAACTAGGCCAGGTCGCGTACTGCAAACACAAACATCATGAGCAAACACAATAATTTGTGTCTACTTTCCGTTCTCCGTCTCTAGCACTTGGCACACCGCACCGATCGTCTCAACGCTGCAGTGAATGAATGAAAAAAGCGCTAGAGCGAGGATAAGTTACCGGTAAAGTTAAAAATGCGGCTATTTGAAAGGCTATTCTTCCTTGCACCTTAAAGAGTCCCTTCAGTGAGGTCTCTTTGAGCTGAGGCCGCAGCCATGCAAGATGCGGACAACGTAGCGAACCATCATTTTCTGTTGGTCCTAGTTTCGTCCCGATAAAAACGCGTGAAGGGTGAACGCGTGGGATTACCGAGACAGCCCTGTGTAATCCATACGGCTGATACTGTTTGGTAGGTGTGAGAGATGGAATCTTTCTCTAAAAGAAATTGTCGTTGCCGTAGAGAAATAGGTTGTTTTAAGGGCTAGATCGTTGGCTGTCGTAGTCATTACAATTATGGCACCCTATGGCGCTACTGTGCGGCCGCTGATGACTGTTACTTCAGTGGGCAACATCAGGCATTTACTGTGATTAGAGCGAAGAAAAGGTATTTCAAGAATCGAGAACGGCTTATGAAAGAAAAAAAAAAGCAGGCATTCATAGGTGACGGCAATATGCTCTACCTGACATTTTAATATTTAAAATTTTAATCTGAATAGAAAATCGTGCAGTAATTATAAAATATTTCTCTCACTGTTGTAGTTTGACAGTGATACTCTGCAGCTGCAGCGGATATGGTGGGCAGATCATTTGGTTATTGCTCGAGCGCGCTCGTTTTTGGCCGGATTGAAAACACACCGGATAAGAATTGCCCCATACCGCATGTCATTGAATTACTGGAAGCTACAACGAAGCCCCTGATCGACAGCAACGAAGAAGGATGAAAGAACGACCGTCCATATAGAAAAAGACATCTGCCTAGAGTGCACATTCCGACCAGCGTACATTCGTTAATACATACTTTTCGTATACAAATTAGCTCAGAGAGAGGTACCTTCCAGGAGCTGCCGACGCGATCATGAATGCGACCACCAATTACCGCTTCAATTTCCCTGTGTGTATTTAAGAACAATTTTTTTTTCTATTTCTGAACCACGACACTAATCAAGTAGATTATAATTCTATCACTAATTCTATAATTCAGAAGGTTTATTTTTATTCACACAAATATACCTGTGCGCTTTGATCATTCCACCTCGCCTTCAGTTAAAATAGGCCATAATTACCGAGGAAACTGTTTGACAGCCGAGCATGGCAAGCCAAGATCTTTTCGCCAGATCGGCGTGGACTGTTGGTATCGCACTGACAAAGTGCAGTTCTCGAACGAACGTTGTCTTCGGAGTAACACTTTGTAATAGTGTTTAGGATTTTCTAACGGAAGCTCGCGTCTTGAAGAACAAACGTATGTATATATATACTCACATATACATATACATAAATCAGAAAAGAGCCACATGTTCCACATGACGAAACCATGCAGCACAGAGGCTTCTTTGAAGATAGGTAATCTCGGGGGAGCCGTTGGCAGGACGATCCTGTGTTTTCACAGGTAACATTATCAGAGAGGCCCTCCATCCATATTCAGTAGAAAATTGCCGTCGAAGCGAGCTTTAAGTGGCTCAAATAGCTTCGTAGATGAAGCTTTTGAAGGCTGTCTTGCATTTCTACAATGATGTGCTGGCAGTCTTTGGTGAACGCATCCGGCTTGTATGTATGACTACGAAGAAAGACGGATTCGAGTGAACAGAAGGAGGGAATCAGGTGTACGAGTTACGGGCCTAAACGGTTATTCATTCACCTTTTTGTGTACCTTTAATTTCTATATCTCACTCCAACGTATTACTCCTTGGCTAGGCTTGTGCCATTCTCATCCAGAACCCTATGAAAATGGCAAACGAAGTATGCGGACTACAATGAAACGGTTTCTAGTACGTCGCAGTATAATTCTATCACTTTACTAAATATTTTTTTCCCGCCGAGTTCCACAATTGATAGCGTGCCATTCAGTTGCAGTATGGGAAAGCAGTTTTTCGTTTAATCTCAAAGAACGGTCTCTGGTTGTCGCCAAGGCAGGGGAAATAACTTAAAATGGCCGTCACAAATATATTCGACGAATACCAAAGTTTTAGTACCATATTTCTATGTTGGTTTCGAAGTAAGCGTTCGTACAGCATCCCTAGAAATGGACGAACGCTATCGCGAAATGTGTGCACCCGCAGTTTCACAATCAAAAAGTACGTTTTAGCCAAGTACGTCGGCTGTGACGGCTCTCGTAAAATAGCCCAGTTAATCGCATTTTACGCATTGAAACAATGTGCATAACGAACAAATAAATAATTGCTCATTATGTATGTTCCGTGCGATGTTTTTTTACTGTTAATTGATACTGAAGCCGTTAGGTACCACTTTGGACATGACTTTGAACGACAAATATCGACCCTTCCGGCCTGAACTCTTCTTAATCAAATATAGTTGATACAATTAAATCACCCACAGCTGACGAGTCGTTCAAGGCTTTGGCCTTCATCATGCGAACCTAATTGTACGTGTCTATGTGACAACAGCGTTAAAATAGGTACCGTTAGGCACTTATCGAACTTCCTTTGAAGTTGCAATTTAGGATTCGAATATTGATAGCTAAGGGCCTACATGCCTTCCTGAGCTGCACGAGGCCGTTCGATATACTGCTACAGAATCTAGTACAACGACCTCTATGCTCCTTCCTGATGTTCGGAAATACAGGCTACCATAGTTTAAGCTGACCCGGGTCAATATTACATCTAGAGGGGATTTGCGTCACTTTCATACAACAAGCCTGCGGCCTGATTCTTAACAATAATTGATGACTTCCTAAGGAGTACACGATGAAATCGAACATACATTGGGTCAAAGAAAACCAACAATTATTTTAAATCACTTGGGCATTTCTTTGAGAGGTGATACCTAAAAATGAAATACAAGTACAGATTGCTTGCCTCAAGTCCTTCAGACCAGTCCAAGTTTTCCCACTGTTCGATTTTGATTGTATTGTTCTAGGAGCTTTCTCTTTTGTAAGGTGTTGGAAATATACCGGGACATATTCGAATGGGCGATTTTTGTCGGTGTAATGATTATAAAAGAAGCCCTGACTTTTCGAGAACGAAAGGACTGGTTTGTTCCAGCTGAAGCTGGAGTTTTGTCTTCGAAATATGAGCGAAGCTGAGCTAATCCAGTGTCTTCGAGGCTCACGAATGAGTCTCCATTGAGATTGAAGATTTATCGCGTCGTAGCTGAATGAAGCGCAGTTTTAATCATCGAGGTTTCTCCGCGCAAATCTTGCACTTCAGCTCGATTTGGCCATGACCCTCAAAAGGACAAGTTTTATCCCATGGAAGTCTGGCGGAAATCCTGTGGTAAGCCTAAAAATCGATGTCATCTGCAACAGAACGTCGCGCCCGATTGTTCTCCGATAAGACAAATGTATCACTCAAGCAGCTATTAAATTGCGTAGAGCTAAACGTCTAGACCGACTAGAGAGGGCAATGATGAAGATGTGGGCAGTTACTGGGCTACACTGGTCATCTATAAAAACAGATCAGAGAAGGAGTGGCTCGCTGAACATGTTTCCAATCGAATACTTATGAATGCCTAATTTAAATTTGCCGGCTTACTACATCTATAGTTTGCCTGGGTGAGAAAAACAACACTGGCTCGTTCACTGGAACTCTAAGAAATCGGTAGAAGATAAGGATGGGTGTTGAGTCTCTATGGGCACATGCGAATCATATCTAAGTATCTGTCTCCATTCAAACGAAATACCGTCTCATACAACGTTCGAATAAACGCCTTGTCTAGTATTAAGAAGATCAAAATATCTTTTAATACCATGTTTCAACCTTAAGTGATGCTAAGCTAAAGTTAGGTGACTTCAATGATAATATTTCAAGCAATTTATTGTGATTTTTTGTTACGTAAATACATCCAAATGGTGAGGCTTACAAAAAAAAAAAAAAAAACAATAGAGAAAGACGTATCTTAGAAAACATCAAACAACTGTTGAAATATCTACAATATTTGCCGTTCCAGAATAAATACTTTAGAATTATGTCCATTCTTTTTCCCTTTTGAATGATCATAATAATCTGAATAAACATTTACTTTATTTATTATTACTTTATTTATTGAAAATAAATTGCTTTCGAATTGTCAAAATCTGCCTCACCTTTGGTGCAACCTTACTTATTAGGACATTTTACCACAAGACATTTTCCATTTTCTTAGCCTATTTTTTCCTAAAAGGTCTCAAAACGATAGATTAGTTCCTAATATTCACGGCCGTATGCTGCTTTTACTTTGATAGTGAAATGTTTTATCCCGTTATTATCAAACTGTCAAGTGGCTTATTAATTATTATTACAATTAATGGCACGAGAAGCGACTGCCTAATGCTACCACCAAACGGAACACGTAATGACAATAACAGAATTGAGGACGGATTCTATCGACGAATCTTAAGGCACCGGGTTACAGTCCAGCTGAGTTCCTCTACTTAAATCTTTATCCATATTGGTCAATGTAAACCTTTGCATTTTCTTATAATATGACAAAAAATGTATATACTAACTAATACACATCACTTATTCGAATGTCTGTATCTGTTACTTTATGTGATAGCCTCACCTTCAAAAAACAGAGGATATGACTGGGATCAAGTGGAAAGGACAACATTTTGAAGTATTGCCTCGAGTCTGGGCGAAAAAGTTCTTGGAACAGAAGCCCTATTGTGTCTCACGCCGTCGGGAAAGCTGAACTTGTCGATCATGTTTAAATTAAACTGTACTCATGAACATGTTCTCACTGCTATTTCTTCATGTCATATAATGGGACAAATAATTGTTTTTGAAAGTACAACACGTTACCCTTCATTCGCAAACATCTTTTTCTCTTTACCGGAAAGTTTACCAACTGTGAGACTTACATCATCTCGCCGTGTTTCAAGCCCACTTTTGTCTCACTTTGATTAAGCCAGGCCCAGAACTACGCAGTCTTCTACGTGTTTTTTAGTCCGCCACTCATGCGCATGTCTATGCGCATATCAGAAAAACATAGCCAACACGGCTCAAGCGGATAAGTATGTGCGGTACGTTGTTCAGTGCTACGATTTACGTTGATGCGTTATCACTCCGCTGGAAAAAGCTTACAGTGTATCACCGGAGTGACTCGACTTAATAATGGTATAATATATAATGATAAAATGTGCTTAGTGGTTGTGTATAAACAGCGACTTACATTCAACCCTATCACTGGCGGTCAAAGAAATTACAACAAGTAACAAGGCTACCTACGACGAGGGGAAATTGGGAAGGGAAATGGAAAAGTTGGGACTCGAAATTACCTCTTAGGAGAGGGCATTTCCGTCGGCAGCCAATGTCCCGCTAGGCCAACCGCTGTTGTTACTACTGCCCAGTCTTGTTTGCAGTGACGTTTGCTGTTGCAGAGAGAGGCCGCGGCAAAGGAGAGATGGTAAAAATACTGTTACTTGCCACGGTAGATGACCTCGGCAAAATGTAGCGTTACGTCGCTAGTATAGCTCTTGTTCATGTTATTAGCGTTCGTTACTGGCAAATCAGCTGTGATCCTACATCGAAGCCGTGCGTGGACGGCAGAGGATTGTGATACCTCACACCGACAATGCTGGCCTACGCATAGGTACTATCCGGCACGGGCTGGCTGAGTACAAGCACGCAAGTGGCTCGAGATTTTGACTAAACTTTAGTAAATAAGTGCCTTCGATGCGATAGGAGTACTGAGCAGGGGACGATGCTAATTTAGGCTACGGCAGTGCTAGTACCGCATATGTAATACTTTGCTTTTCATGACCTAGCAGCGGCTCAGAATTAACGCACGACATTTCCCAAAATTACAGTTCTTTGTTTTTTTGCTTACATGAATGAAGTCGTTTGGCGACTAATTTATTTCAGCTATAGGATTTTTCATATTATTTATGGGTACGCAGGATATACGGATGCAGAAATAGGCACAGTGGGAGGGGGTGCGCGCACTTTTAACACTAGTAAATGTCATAAAATACATCGAAGTTCTCAATGAATAGCAGTACGGGTCCTTGTATCAACGGAGAGCGAGCAGAGTCGCTTGGAATTATTGAGCAAAATAACTTAGCATCAGACCGTAAAATATTACAATGTTTGTGATGATATAGGAACTTTGACGATATTATATTTTTTGTTATAAATTGCATTGATTATCATTAAATTTTATTTTAGGTTTTATATATATAAAACAAAACTTCTCTCGACTAATTTTCTGCGGGAAAAGCAGCGTAGAGATGCCAGAAACGAGAAGTTCTGACGACACACTGTATCCATGAAGTTCTGTTCAAGCATTTTCGCTCTCTATAATCGACAATCGTCTCATACATTTCCCACCTTTCCACATCTCATACGGCTAGCGTCTGCTGTTTGACACCTGCACACGCCGATGTCCGAAATAAAGGTTAAATAGACATTGAACATAATGTCCAGCTCCATTTGAAAAATTCACGTTGAGCTGGCTTCTAAATGTCAAATAAAATATTTTGTAATACAAGAGACCCGCAACTACAACAACCGTAATCGCTTACTGGGTGGTCTCTGTATATCGTGGACGCTCTTCTCAAATAAATCTCGCCACCGGTTCCACAGTCCGCTTTCAGCGATCCAGCCGTTGTTTCTGATTATGATAGCTGGCATTGAGACGAGTCCTATTTCTCGCAATGACCTGGTTACGGCGGTCTCACATCCACCCCCACTAGAGTCACTTCCAAGTTCCAGCGACGGAAGACCGAGTCGCGTTCCCTCGACGTTGATCTTACGCAGCTGCCGGAACGCCTTGATCTTTGGTAAACTTCTCTCAGTAATAAGGGGATTACGGGAGATGTCAAGCATGAACAACCGCACAGGGCCTCGTCCTGTCATTGAAATAGGCAATGTGAGTCGGCGCAGCGAATCATCGTTCAATCGGCATCCCCGCATCACGAGACAGCGCAAACTGAAAGCAAGCAATTGCAGCAATAATGGAATGAAAGGGCGACCCAGTCACTTAAACCTTAGTGTATGAAGTATACAAATACAAATACCCGTGTATGACCATAACGTTTTGTTGGGCATGTTCACTTGATCGGTTGATCAATTATTATAACTATTACTCAGTTATAACTATTATTTTATCACACGTACTATAGAAGAGGCTAACCGCCGCCGAAAAATGGGTAGCCGCCAAGAGTGCCCCGTTTCGTAAAAGAAATGTATCGCAAAGTCGACTAGATTTATCCTTTAAACAAAAATCTTCCAAGCAATACCATCAAATGAAACTCCTTATCTTTGCTCTAATATCATTCCGTTCGCAATAGTAGGATAGGACACATGAGAATAACATAATGAGGCAGTGTTCCATTGGGTTTTACAAGCAGAAAGTAGCTCGTCGTTGTTAATCCTGATTCGACTGGCGCCTTCATATTATTAATTGAAGTTCGGCATTGTCTATCAGTACAATTTTGCTGAAACTGCTGTCTGACTGTTTCAAGAGGGAAGTCCGGGCACGAGTTCTGTTACAAGTAATTATCGACCTTTGGAACCAACGGTATATGAATCTAGAATCTCAATATATTGGCACCTATGCGCACATATCTAAATAACAGCGTCTTCAGTACAGAGTTCGTCTAGAAGCGTTCGGTTCCGTTACATCCAATGTGAGTTACCTTTAAGTAAAGGGAGCCTAAATGGGGCACTCGTATAAAAGGATGCTTTTGATAATGTAATCCAAACAAGAAACCCTTCTGTCGCCGTTTGTGTGCTTATAGTCGTCCGTGGGACTGGAAACCCGTTCGCGCTCACGAATAAGCAAAACGGAAATGTTTTCTGTACTCAACTGTTTTTCTCTAGGATTATCCTTCTGGTGACAAACTTCTCGTAGTCATAACGATTTGCAATTGGCTATAATCAGTAAATCCCAGCCCCACTTTTTTGCAGGTATCATCGCATTGTTGGCTCCTAGTACCGTATGATGAAAAGCGCCACCCATTAGGAGAACGACGACGCAGATTTGTGTCTAAAATTTCTAAAAATTATAATTTCTAAATAAAGAAATTCTAAAAAATGAGCACGAGCCCATATTTAATTCTCGTCCTGATCGATGTGAACGAAAATCTGCATCGATTTCGATAGGATTTCGATCGAGTGGGAATTTCAATGAATTTTGTATAAAGATAGCACCTCTCACATCAAGAGCACGTTCAGGTGCGACCCCACTCTGATTTTGTGCCGTCTACGGATCCTACCTTTAGACGTCTGCGCATGAAATATTCACTCCTAGCCGCTCTGCCGTTGACCCCTTAACGGCTTCCGTCGTAGCTGCACAGCGACGCGTCATCAAGGCGACTGTTGTGAGCTAATGCGCTGCCGTATTGCAGAGCTGGTGTTTTTTTTTGCGAAATCTTACATATATATTTAGTTATTACACCGGAAATTTCGGCCCAGATCAATCCCATCCCATGCAGCTAGCAAAAATTAATAATTTTTTTCTTGTTTCCTTCGGTCACTTGAATATGTTACAAATTATTTTTAGTGTTGCCTGAAAAGCTTAGCGGCCTGTGTCTCCTACGGGTGCGATCAGGCCGAGCTCAATTGTCCGGTTCTCGCCCGAGAATTTATTACTGTTCTTTAACCTAACTCAACGTAAGGATAACTCGTATGAAGATACCGTAACGCTGGCGAACCGATTAAGCTTTACACTGTATTAAACGTGTGTACCTTTGGGGGTTTAACGTAGTTAAAGTTCACGAATGCTGTTAAAACTACCGCCAACTCGTCTGGAGAATCCTATAGAAAATCAACTTCCGACGGGGACGGACCGCCGGTCGGTTTGGTGGCATATCGGCCATTCCACTCCAAACTCCATCTGGGATGCTATCGCTTGTGTTGAGTAGCATTTGCAAGGGTACTAAGACGCGTAACGGTCTATAATAGGGAAAACTGGGAAACGATTGCGCATCGAGGGACGTATTTGCAATGATGAGCAAACGTTGATCGAGTGATATATTAGTACCTTATATATTATATTAGATACATATTAGTACCGTTAGTTTTAACACGTCGGCCACCAGACTGACACCTATTAACTTTTCAGCATTTTTCAGTGTTACGAAGGACAACCTGTTACGGTTTCGATGGGACTTCGTCGGTCGTTGTTCAATCGGGCAGTGATCATGGTGCCGGAAAGGCCGTTATTTAGTATCTGATAGACGCAAAATCTTGACCACATTCGTTCCAAGTATATCCAAACTGTATTTCTATCATGGGTCGGACACAAGCGTAAGGCCGATAACAGCGGCCTAAATGGCAGTAGTCTTCGGTAGTAGGGACGAGATTCGTATTGATTTTTGTATAATCTCCGGTGTGGACCCTTTGTTACGTGGAAAAGCTACCTAGAACAAAATATGTAGAAGGAAAACTATGTGTTATTGTGTTGCTGGGTCGTTAGACACTTAAGCATAACATACTGTCCTGTTATTTTCGCTTTTCCGTCTAACAAACGCAGGTGTGCTCAACGTAAGCCCACATAAGATTATCTGTTTTTGCTGCATGTTGAACACGTTACGAATCTGGTACTCACATTTAACAGCTTCGAAGTTCACATTGGACAGCTGATTCTTGAATGTTGTCATTAATAAATATCGTATGTGAGGCGCAGAGCCAGCAAAAACAAGCAATCACTTACCTTAATGTTACAATCTTGGAAAAGGGTGATGTAAGCCGATTGACTAAATATGTAAACGCGCAAGTTCCCAACGATAACACGTCCTAAACACCCGAACGAACACATCATGAGGTTATGGCTACTATGACAAGACCTTTTCGCTTGACAGGGCGCAACTGGATGCATGAAACCGCTTAGAGGGACTACACGGCACGGAAGTTGGGCAAGCATTTATTAATAGGAGAGAAAGAAAATTCGAAACTAGCCGCATAGGCCTTTCTCACTCCTAACGTGGGCAAACTTTGTGCAATACGATCTGACTGTACACAAAGGCAAATCAACGCATCGAAACAAACATTTTGATTCCACGGGCCATAAACTTTTGCCCCATATTCACAAGCAATTACAGCAAGTTCAGAATTTTACAAAGGTACATAATAACGCATCGCTTCTTTGTTTTTTCGTAAGAATCTATTGTCTTAAAAAATGTACATCAATGAGTGGTGCCATAGATACGCAATAGACCTACCACCTTTACGCTACTACTAGAACGATCATTTATTAACCTGTACGGCAACTGAAAGCCATGTTAAGATCGATACGGCATCAAAAATGCTACAGTCAATAGCATACGTTATTATATATGAACAGCTGCTTTGAAACAAATTTCTCTTTACTCGCTTTGTTACTCATGCAAATATGGGTATATTAGAATTTTCTTTGTTAAAAATAAATTCACAGCTCTATTGGTCATAAGCAATCATTATAGGGATGACGATAACGGTGCTACAAAGCTTAATAACAATTTATCGGATTTGTATTCGGTTCTGTACTCCCTTGACCCCAACTATGTAATTTACGTCTTTAGCTTTGGCCGAAACCCTTCTGCCGTTTATATACGTAAGTGGCGTAACTGTGTACGCTAGTTTTTATTTCGTGTTGTTGACATATATTCAATTCACACTGCTTGTGAAGTATCTCATGAGACTGATTGCCGAGCTTCGTAGGAGATTTTTGTGTCTCAGCGGTGAGTGAAGAGCCCCGAATAATTGGTTGTTTTAGGAACTATATACGCTGAACAATAAATACGTCTATTTGAATTTTACTCGCGTTCCAACTCATCGTTTTATTGAATCATGCACATTTTTACAATGTATTCAATCCTTATCTAGCCTAGGCTTGGCTGACATCAGGAAATGAATTCAGGAGACATGTCTGTGAGCACGTTTCTCTCAAGACTGTTGTCTCTTCACTTAAGGCTAGAACCAGACAGACACTGCCTTTTGGGCATCGCCTTATTACACATACTTGCTGCATTCATACTGCTCTCACGTTCAGAGAACGACCGACCCTCCTCTACTTAGAAATTCAAGTAAGGGACTCATTTTGCACTCAAAGCCTACTGGTAAGAGCACACCACCCTGAAGTATTGACAATTTTCCAACAGGTCTGAGTAAACATCGTTAACGCCCGTGGCAAACTACGTTAGGTTATTTCTCAACAATTTTAAACCACAATCGTGTCCATTTGAATCAGATATAAACCCGGGTGGCAAAGCTATAAAAGTTTGTTGGCCACGATACATCTAAACCCTTCCCATCGGTCAGGTAAACACCGTCAAAAGCTGTGCAGGATTCTACGAATAGTATTGCTATTTTATACATTTGACGCCCGCCTCAGTGCGCCTTTTTGAATGATCTTTCTTCTAGAAGTCAATCATACTGACGACTACGCGTTTTACCTATCAAGCTACACCGAAGACGATTGACACCTAACGAGGTGTTTCAGCCGCCCTAACACCCCTTCTATCTCAAGTCATGAGATTCGGCCTCTGAAATTACAGCAGGCATACCATTATGGACACAACACAGACTGGCGTTGCATTCGATGATAGCTCGTATCGCAAACATTTGACAGCGGGGGCTGCGGGCTTGTTCTGTTGATCTACAAAAGGACCCAACATGATGTGCATGAATGGAGGATTTCAATGAACTAGAGAAATGGAGCAAAAGAGAGCGAGAGGCACACAATCTGTGCACACAAAATTGATAAGGGTGACGACTGAAGAGCTCAATGAGTTGAAAAACTTGTCCAAAGCATTGAAAAAGATTGGGACGTTTAACCTTATAGTTACGGGTCCTGAATTCTGAAGTGGGTAAAAAGGCCTGCGTGATACGGGATTGAGTTAGAACCTAACCTACAAAGTGTGAACTTAGCAAACGCAGCGGACTAGGTCTGCTGCTCGATTGCCGAGGGATTGCAGCTAGATGATATATTTAGGCACGTTTCATTTG